AGCTTTCAGAAAGCATTAATTTATTTATACACAGATTACGAAAGGTAAAACAGATTAATAATTTTCATGAAAATAAAAATAGGTATTTATTTTGTTGGAAACGACTTTTCAAAGTCAAAACACTATTTGTTACAAATACGTGTTATCAAGAAAACCAAAAAATATTAATTTATATAATATATATACATATTTATTTTCTTCTATGAACTAATAGGAACGGTTTCTGCAATTTGTTGAATTTCTTGAAAATTTAATGAATACATTTAAAAAAATAGTTTCTATCTGTGTATCGTTTCATTTACACACACTACTAGAAGCACTAAGTATATTAATTAGAAATATCTAAAGTAAGTTACTCATGAAAGAAAATAAATGCGATAACAAGGTAACAAAGATATCTTTATGTAAAAATAAAAATGCAAATTGAAATATTTAGTTTAATACCGAAATATTACATTTCTTTTATTTATAGGGGGTCTCCCTAACTTACCTCTTACCTCTTACCTCTCCTTAACACCACAAAAACTACGTATTCGAAGCAATTTCAGAAATTACATTAAGATTCGCAATTACGTCTGATAAATTTTTAAAATTAGATTTCTATAAATTATCTTTTAATATAATAATATTAGAGCCATCAAGAAAATTCCGTTTATTTTTTTAAATTACAATCTAAAGTATATTATCTTTTTTTGCGATAAGTGGATCTACATTCCGTGTCTTTAACGTTTGAATTCTGAAGTGCAGCAAATATCGAATCGTAAAATCGATAAAGGTTACAAATTATAAAGCATAATTTCTAGACCAGATGTGGTAAATGGGTATGTGACTTCAATTATCACAAGGCATAGTAGCATTTCAAGCGCACTTTTGTTTTATCACCGACAAACAAGTTGCACGTGTCTCGAATCAATAAGAGCCATAAACTGAAGTCATATTAGCAGCACATCTGCTTGTCTTTTAAATATCAAGAGTCAATTTCCTATAATTTAAAATATGATTCAAAATAATTAGATAATTAAACTACTGATAAAAAGCGGTTTAGTTATCGTCTTTATTTTATTCCTTTTATAAATACTAACGACACCATAAATATATATTTTGCTCCTAAATTTCGAACGTGATTTTCGTAGTTACGGATTCATTACTTGTCATTTTGCTTAATAATGAAATTTTAATTACCTTACTTGTAAAAATTGTGATGTTCTCATAATAAATTGTGTAAAATAAGCAACGTGTTTTCTTTTTTTTTTCAACAGGCGATTTTTAATTTGATTTAGATTATAAAAAGAAAGCAGAGCACTAGCGCTTTAAAAAAATTGTGTAAAATTTCAGAGAATACTTTAAGTATATGTATTTTTTTTTAAATCTTTTCTTTGCAACTTGTCTTAATGAATTTTAGTATCCCTCGCTCTCTTTTCTTGCAGAATGTCGAACGAATCATATTACTTATAAAGTGATAGCTGCACATTTTTGATTTACTAAATCTATTAATAGTGGGTTGTAAATTGAGACATTAAAAATGTATCTAAAAAGCTCAAAAAGCACGTATGCTACCGTCAGTGTTAATTAATAATATACGTTATTGATCAGATCAGGGTATAAAAATCTGCATGTGCCTTAAGAATATCATTCTGTATGTTTTACAATTTAATATTTTACTATAAAATATGTGTCATATGAGATAAAGATCTACATTCAAATATTATGTAGATTAGGTCAAGCCAACGTATAGGGACTAAATAAGAGCCGTGTTCGAACAGAAAAGTGAATAACAGTGCGCAATGCAACACAATTTTAAAACCACCTGACGGCTATCGTGCGAGGTTATTGACCCCCAAATTATTACATTCATTGCGGGTCAATGAAGCATTGCTTATGATATTTTGTTTTTCGATTTACTAGGTACTAGTCTATTGCAGTCTCGGTTTCTCGAGCAGCCCCATTAAGTACTATTCCAACAATAAAATAAATGAATTTGTATAGATTTAATTGTTAAAAAAAATACATATCTTTATTACGATATACTATCATGTCATTATATAAAGCTATTCTGTTGTGAATAAAAAGAAAAAAAAACATTTGTAACTATTAAAGCATTCAAACTTATATAGGTTTAATATTACGTCCACCTAATAGGGAGTAGGTATTTTAATAGATAAGCATATATTTAAGTATCATTTTTGTCTTAATGACATCAAAAAAACAAAAAAAAAAACCTAACATCCACTTATACTTTTCATAAATCGACATTTACATAACTCTCCCAACGACTGCAGATTTAATTGTTAACCCTTTACAAAACTAATTATTAATGACAGTGATACATTGCAAGATATTGTTTAATGAAAACATTTGGCAGCTACCTCTGTAATTAATGTTCCTATTATTTTTTTACTATCTGCACATTAATCTCGGTTGGTTATACCAACCTTACGCGGACTACACTAGCCTAGTTCTAGTCCTAGTCCTACCAAGAGCAGTGTCGCGCTGAATCTACCACATAATTTTACATAGACATTGTTCAATCTAAATAAAATAGCACATTGAGTTTTCATTAATTTTATGTACGATTTTTTTTTTATATTTTTGCATTAATTATATTTAAGTTTGTTTTTATTTAATTAGATTATGTAACATTTACGTTAATGTCTAAATTTATACATAATGCTTTAAATACTATACATACAATGATGCTATATTGTATGTCTGTACATTAAACTAATATACAATGTGTTTATAGGTATGTATGCGGTAAAATATTATTATTCATTACGTATTTCATGCGTTCTATTACTTTGACCTTGATTTGTATAATTCATATTAATTTTACTGAATAGATATTAATAACAGAACGTTTTTAAATTTTAATCAATTTAGGGTTCCTTGAATTTCCATTAATTTATTTCACATTTTAGAATTTATCTTTTTGTTCCTTCTTCACGGATCTAGGACTTTTTAGGGGTAGCGTTGATTTTTTTATTAATAAATAAATAAAACAAACATAGGTTTGTATTTAAAAGCTTGGTTTTCATACGAGGTATATTTCATTTGTATATTTATTAAAAAGAAACTTTAAAAATTATAAAATAAATGCATCAACATTGACTTCCTTGTAGTCATGTAGCTTTTGTTTAAAGTGGCAGTATTAGAGTGGCGACTCGATTCAGTTATAATTACTAAGACAATATTTCCTTCTCATTAACTGTCAATATAATTAAATATAACATAAAACACATGTAGGCCGAGTTTGTTTATTCTTAATGCTCCAGTTAGGATCGGTGGTAAAATTAAGAATTACTAATAAAAAATGCATAATAAAAACAACAACAATTCAAAAAAAAATTTGAGTTATTTTACGCAGGACGTTAACCCGTAAACAGGATATAAAAAATAAAATAGGACGCATCAAAACAAAAACAATAAAGGGATTAATCGTTAAGCACTTTGACATCTCGACTAACTAGGGCATTTACTGTATTCATTACCTTTAGAAATAAACATTAAAAATAAAAAACAAAAAAAGCACACTAAGTAAATAAAATTTGAACACAATATGTATGTAAAATGAATATATAAAGTTGGAAACGCATCCGCAATTTATTATTTGTGTGTCAACGAATGAAAGCGCCATCTATCGTTACTTGATGGTTTTCTAACAGAAAGGTACCTTTGCGTGCCAGAAATAACTGCAACGTGTTTTATCCCAATAGAATAAACGATTTAGGAGCGCACAAAGCACAAACAAAGAGACATACAAACAGTAATTATCTTTTGTTTCGTCTACCTATATTATATAGCTGTCTCAAGAAAACAAGTGCGAATGAAGTTTAAAATGCTTCTAAACAGATAAACAAATCTCGACCGAAAACAAACGTGACAATTACATTATTTCAAGTGTCAATTTTAATAGAATTCATTATTGATTGAATTAAGATTTTATAAACACCCATTATAACTATTCTTAATATATATATACAGAGATATATATATTTAAGGTCTGCTTGCCTATTGTCTCTAACAGGTATATTTATAAAATGTATATACATAGACATAACATATATATATTATTAATATATTATTTATCACAGTTAAAACCGGTGTTGTGTATTTAAAGCAAAATTTTCATAAAATATTTTTCAAACTGAATGAGCAAATTTAGTGAGAAACCTATAATATACATAATTAATTACAGCTATTTATATTAATGTAGACATTAAAATGCAGCGAATTATATCGCAGAAATGTTCTAATTTACATCAACACATAGAATATTTAAAGACAAGAACATCGAGTCTGCATTCATGTTGCAACTCCAAAGCGTCTACAAACATTTTTTACATATCAAACTGTGTCCCTACAAACATTTAATGTAATTAAATTACACAAAGGCGCATACGCGTTTCATAATACGTGTTTTCCTTTGAATCGTTCATAAAATCGATTTAGATATGATCCAGAGGAGTATATTAAAAAGATAGACATCAAAGAGGTTGATATCAAAAACCCTTTAAAAAAGTCATGTTCGTGGCCAGTTTGCACGCTATACCACAGACAAAGGATAAACAAGACAAGCCATGCACTAACGTTGACAATCGTAAAGATGCATTGCAAGCGCTAGTCGCATATTATTCGTGGTTCAAAACCGACGCTAGATCAAATCGGGATCAGAGGCCTGCAAGCCTCCGAGGGTCGACAAGAAAAATAATACAGCACTTAATAGTTTGAGTACAAAAAGATATATCAAGTTTTAGGAGACCGCTGTAAATAAGCATTTGTGCGCCGCCCTGCGCCCGGGCGTTCTCGTTGATGATGATATTAATTTATCCCTAATGGGAAAGGCAAAGGACTTTAGTCCATACAGCCAGGTCTTCTTCTTGGTAATAATTGGAGAATTTTGGCAGTTTTAAAGGCCGAAGCCACGTCTTCATTGTTGGGCGTTCGTTGATCAGAGCATCAGCTGTTTTTGATTTTATGTTTCATTGCTGGGTTTTTTTTTGTAAAGTATTTTTAATGAAACTAACGTTTCATTTAGCTGCACTAATATGATGGAGCGTAAATATATAAATATAATATTAACAAAACGCTTTAAAAATATGTTTTTTTTTTTTTTAAATCATGATCTATTTTTTTCCGACCTATCATCTAAGGTGTCATTTGTACTATCGTCTGTCTTCGTTTTCGGAAGCGATTTCCTAACACCCAGTATAATCATTGCAATATATAATAATTGCAAAAAAGTAATGTCGTAATTCTTTTGTACCTCGACAACACGAAGTGGTAGAAATACTGTTCGACTAGGACTCGGACTGATTGGCTGTCGGTATCTCTTGTATCTCTTCAGAAGGGGGAGGTGGGAAGGGAGCGTTCTCTTCATATATCATAACCAATTTGCTGTATTCCCGTTTCCTCTTGGACGAGGTTGTTGTCTCTTCACCGGAACTGCTGGAACTGGTGATACCCTCCTCGAGGGTGAGTCGCGCGGCGACACCTTCCAACTGAAGGTCCAGGTACAGCTGACCAAGTTGCTCGTTCACTAGTGACGGCTGGAATACAGGTTGGTTTACAATTATCCACTAATAGAGTAAGATCCCAGGGCCCCCAGACGTCACCTATTTTCTAACGAACAAAATGTGGCCGATTGCGTAGTGTTAGTATGTACTAAGAATGCATGCCTACCTGCTAGCGTGCTTAGACGGCTAATATAGGTTTTAAAATAGTTGTCTGGTGGACATATTATTATATAAAAATCAGCTTACAGAATTTACGTGAAGTTATTTTGGGAGCTTTAAAGCGTCTGCAAAGCAATGCGGCCGACGGAAAGCGTCTGGGAGTATTGGCGACTTACTTTTAAGGACATTGCCCAAAATATACGTAAAAATCAGCTTTCAGAAAATACGTGAAGTAGGTCATGATTTTATGTATCCTAAGTAACTGATATATATTTTTTTTTTATTGCCCCTGTAGGCAGACGAGCATACGGCCCACCTGATGGTGAGTGGTTACCGTCGCCCATGGACTTCAGCAATTCCAAGGGCAGAGCCAAGCCGCTGCCTACCGCTTAATACTCTCCACAAGCCTCTTTTAAAGAAGGACATGTCATAGCGCTCGAGAAGCACCGTGGAGGGGAGCTCATTCCATAGCCGGATGGTACGTGGCAAAAAATACCTCTGGAAACGCACTGTCGATGACCGTAGTGGCTCCAGGTAGTATGGATGAACTCTACTCCGGTGGCGGGCGGTGCGATGGTAAAAACGAGATGCCGGTATCATCTCGAACAATTCCTCAGAGCACTCCCCATGGAACATTCGGTACAAAATACAAAGGGAACCGAAGTCCCTCCGCAGACCCAAAGGTTCCAAACGATCCGCGAGAATGGGATTATCGACGATTCGAACGGCCCTCCTCTGTATGGAGTCAAATGGAAGAAGCTGGTATTTGGGAGCCCCGGCCCAGAGATGGGAGCAGTACTCCACGCGAGGCCGGACTTGTGCTTTATAAAGCAAAAGTCTTTGTCCAGGCGTGAAATACCGCTTCGCTCTGTTGAGGACTCCCAGCATTTTGGACGCCAACTTGGCTTTGCCTTCCAAATGACTCCGAAACTGGACATCGCTCGAAATGTCGACCCCAAGTATCCCGATACTCTCGGAAGGTTGCAGGGATACTCCTTGGAATTGCGGCGCCATGACAAAGGGGTCCTTCTTCGCAGTGAACGCGCAAACTTGTGTCTTTATCGGGTTGAATTGAACCAAGTTCAATTCACCCCATTCGGAGACTCGCCCCAGAGAGTTCTCCACTTCAGACACAAGTTTTGATCGTCTCTCTTGCACCACGCTCCGAGAGAGACTCTGATGGCCGATATATCGCGCATCCCCCGTGCTGTCATCTGCATAGCAATGCATGCCATCAATAGACAGCATGTCATTGATATACAGGATGAAAAGCGTGGGGGAGAGCACCGAACCTTGTGGAACGCCAGCGTTAATGGTCATGGTATCAGAACAGTCACCGTCTACAACGACCGTGATGCTCCGCCCATCCAAAAAGCTAGCGATCCACTTGCAGAGACCCTCGGGGATTCCGTAAGATGGTAGCTTCGATAGAAGTGCCCTATGCCAGACCCTGTCGAAGGCCTTCGCGATATCAAGGCTCACAGCAAGAGCCTCGCCCTTGCTCTCCAAGGCTTCAGCCCACCTGTGAGTAAGGTATACAAGAAGATCGCCAGCTGAGCGACCGTGACGGAAACCGTACTGTCGGTCACTGATCAGCTGGCGATCTTCAAGATACTTCAGGAGTTGTGTGTTTATTATTCGCTCCATCACCTTGGAAAGCAAGGAAGTTATCGCGATAGGCCTATAGCTCGATGGGTCCGACCGGTCACCCTTCTTGGGGATAGGGTGGACGTGGGCGGTCTTCCATGAAGACGGAACCCTGTTTGTGCAATAAGAGAGGCGATACAAACGCGTTAGCGCAGGCGTCAGCTCAGGGGCGCACTTTTTCAGAACCACTGCGGGGATGCCGTCTGGCCCACTCGACTTATGGACGTCCAGGAGTCGGAGCTCCCGCCTGACTGCACACTGTGTGAAGCAGATTTCCAGCAGGGAGCTATCACACCGGGGGATGTTCGATGGTGTGGCACCCCTGTCGTCCACAGTCGAGTTCGAGGCGAAGAGTTTGACCAGAAGGTCAGCCTTCTCTTTCGCACTGTGGGCCAGAGTGTCATCGGATTTGCGCAGTGGTGGGAGACTAGACCTGCAAAAGTTTCCTTCTGCAGCTTAGGCGAGCGACCAAAAAGCACGGCTCCCAGAGGGATAACTCTTTAGTCGCTCGCCAACTCTAGCAACGTGCTCCGACTTCGCTTTGGACCTTCTTGTAGGACCTGGAGGCGGCGTTATATTTCCGCCTTTCCTCTGAGATGTTAGGATCCCGACGCCTCCTGGCATCATCCCATGCCACGTATGCGGACCGCTTGAGGTGTGCAGCATCCCTGCTGGCATTGTTATACCAGGGTCTGCTGCGACCCCCAACGGGCACTTCAGAAGAGGGAATAAACAATTCCATCCCCTGGAGCACCACGTCTTTAAGACGGTCCGCACAGACCGTCAGGATCAACTGAGGAAAAGCAGAACCGCCCCCATGGGTAGGATGCGTAAAATTCACGCAATCCATCCCAATCTGCTGACATATACCGCCAAACTCTTCGATATCCGGTCGTCATTCGACGACCAGGACGAGAGAGTGGTACGGCAGCACAGATAAGGCAGTGATCAGACGATCCAAGCGGAGCGCCGACCACCACACTGTATCCGGCCGGATTCGTGGTCAGCAGAAGGTCCAACAGAGAAGGCTCGTGCCCCTCGATATATACGATATATACCTGAAAATTGGCCGTCTAAGCAAGGTAGCAGGTAGGCATGTATTCTTAGTACATACTAACACTACGCAATCGGCCATATTTCGTTCGTCAGAAAATACGTGACGTCTGGAGGCCCTGGGATCTTGGACTATAAGTTATCCATGGTTAGACCTGGACATCGAATGTACTTAATGTTCTTAATATTTTATTAAGTTTCAAACAATGGACCAGTTAGATTACGTAGCTTTCAAGTAATTAAACTAACCTGCTCAAGGTTACTAATCTTCTGCTTGTCAGATGAAAGTACTTCCTCCATTGTTTTTGTCCTTATCTGGTAATTGTAGACGAGCTCTGACGTCAGGCATACCTTGAAAATGCAACACACAATAAAACTAGATGAAAACCTAATAGCGTGAAATTTGCAATGTGTTTTGATTCTTATTACTCTAGAGTTTACTGTTCATTTTACGTCACAGTAGCTATTGACCAAAACAAACACGAGCAGGAACAATACTGAACTGGTAAGACATTTTCCTATTTATAGATACTTAATAGCATTTTTCTATAGTATTTTTTATAGAATTGAAATTGTGCCACGCATGTGTATGCGTACATATTTCGAGTTTTTCCACACAAAATACTTTAAGATCAAACCATGTTGGACCCGAGATTCGATCTGCATTTAGTCCTAAAATAACTAAATAAGTCTTGTGACTTATTAAGTAGTAAGTGAATTAAATTAACATAGGTCACTTTTTTCACGGTGTGCAAAACACAACGTTAATTCGTTGCACTTTGTGAACAAAATATGTTATGTTGTTACAATTTACTTATTACGTTTTGGACTGCAAACGAAACTAGTTTTCGTTATTACCTGCTCCATCCATGGTGGTTCAATGTTTCGTCTGGGTACCTTCGCTGGAATATGGTGATCGGAAAAAGTTTGGCGGACCTCCGTTGAACCAGGCATCGCCATCCCATCGTCGCCACGATAGTTTTTATCCCAAAACTACAAAAGTAAACAATGTTTTTGAATTAATATTTGACTTTTTGGCGGGAACGCGAGAAGTGAAATTGTGTGATTTATTTATTTTGGCTATTTAGTGTTTCTTCGGGTTTAAGTGTGTAATAACGGTGGTTTATTAACTGTTTAGGATTTGTGAAAGTGCACAAATGTGGGAAAATGAAACAAAGCCGCTGAACGTAACTTCCACTGAAAAAGTCTCAGTAAATGACCACCATTTTACTGAAATATCATCACATCTCATTTCATTTAATTTCATGACAATTAATTAAGTGTCCTTCGTTTTTTATTATTCATAAACTGTAAATAATTAAAACGGCGAATGATAAAAATCTTATTACTTGACACTGGCTAATACACAAACCGAGCCGAAGCCAAAAACTAAAGAAGCAGAAGAATTAATATTGGACCTATTTGAAATTCTAGAAAATGATTTATCTTCTGATATGCACAGCACTATTATGTCATAGGCAGCCTGGCTCTCCCCACAGCTGGACTTAGGGCCTCTTCTACAGTCGGCCACTGCCACGCGCTGATTGAGTCAGTCCGTCTGACCTGCCATAATCAACGGTTAAATAATCATTTTTTTTTAACTCGCCACTAAACTCTGTGGAACAAAATTTAAACCAGTTAGAATTTGAATAATGTTTACTTTGACGTGATTTCTTGTGTCCCTTTTCTTGCTTTCGCCACTCTCTTCCGCGCTGCCAGATTCCGTCTTGAAAAACGACGAGTAAAACGAGGAATAGCTAGATTCTCCGTCAGTTTTGTCTACAACCTCCTCGGTGTTACCCAACCTGCTCGTTTTCTTAATGTCTTTAGATGGCGTTGTGGCATGCCCTGCTTCTGTTCTCTATGGAGTAATAGACAATTTGATCATTCCAATAATGCAGGGGTAGCATGCAGAGCTAGAGATTTCGTGTAAAGTGAAAACTATCTGATATGTTACGCAATTAAAACTTTAGTTTTCACATTTGTTGTATTTAACATTGCGCAGAAAAATTTAAAAAGTTCCTAATATAATCAGTTTTGATTTGCCGTTGCCGCATTGACGACGCTTTGTCTGCTGATCTTACCCATTATAGAAGGTAATTTCAATTATTTTTTCGGAAAAACATACACATTTTTTTCAACCATTTATGTTAATGGTCAATAACACTATAAGTAATAATTATGTTAAAATCGCAACTGGTTCCATTTTGAATATACCATAATTATTATTAGGATTGAAAATTTTAGGTTACAACAATGAATTCACTGTTGGCGATTTTTTGAAGTTATACTTCTTTAGGCGCGTTATGAAAAATTGATGAGAGTGAAATTTTACGATGCGCGCGCACCGAGACACAAAATTAACAGAATGAAGTTGCCCACTAAATCGTTCATTACAATACGACCGACGTAGCTTGGCGAGTCTGAATATAGCCGCAGGTGAACTTTCGCGTATTTACACTCGTAAAAAAAGTGTTATTAGCATTCATTTTTTAGTAATATAAATGACAAAATTATTATTTAATATAATTCATACTAAATATTATTAAATTTATGTGCCTTTGGAAAACATACAGCATTGTATTATGAAGAAGCCGTGTGTACTTAGCTTAAATTCCTTGTCTATGTCCAACCATAGACAGTCAATTTAGTTCCATCTTTAACCGCCAGATGCTATCAGCAAGTATAAAGGAAACGCAGCCATATTTAATATTCATAGCGTTGTGTACTTTCGTAGTGTGAAGTCGCAAATCCACAAATATGGGGGTTGATTGCTTCCCGCTTCCGTAGGTTTAACCCGCGATTCCCTACAAGTGACCCCTGGGTGGTGCAAAACGGGAGCCGAATACATAATCGGTGGTAGGACTTGTCCGACAGGCTGGCGACCACCCTCCAACTAGAGTCCGCCGCCAAATAGCCTAGCTGTGTTCCGGCGTGTGGGTTGGAGAGCCAGTTTTATTCCTTCTCTTTCCTCTTCTTTGTTGGGGGTGAATCTTGGCGATACCTGGAACATGCGGAGCAGACGTGCGTGTGAGCTCGCGGGACGTGATTGTTTGACGGGGGTATAGGGAGACCCAGTGAAACGGTGTTCGCCGCCGCCCGCCGGTCAGTTGAGGACCTAAACCCGGGTGTCACTACTAAACTCCGCCCCGGGAAGCTGTCCCGCCAACCGGTGTAAAATCCTGTCGTGCGGTCGTTGTGCCGGAGTCGGAGACCGGAGTGGATCCCGGCGATCGGACGCAGGGTGGACTGGGGGCCCTTCCATGCCCTGTGTCAGTCTCTCACGCAATCCGTGGTCGAGCACGTACTGTTTTCCGCGCTTTATTCAGGTATTGTCATGATTTCGTCTCGAACTTCCTACACCACCCAATCACACTCTCAAAATAAAAATAAAAAATATGACAGCAAAAAAAAAGGAAAAGGGGTTTGTCGGCGATGCCCCATTACACATTTAATGTGGATTTCAGCAATGTAAGGGGCCTACATAGCAACCTCGACGCCGTACACCACCATCTTGAGACGGCGCAGCCTGCCCTCCTTTTTCTAACGGAGACGCAGATATCTGCTCCGGATGATACTTCGTACCTTGAATAACCCGGCTACGTATTGGAGCACAGCTTCCTGCGTAAAGCCGGGGTGTGTGTATTCGTCCGGGCTGATGTCTGTTGTCGCCGTCTACGAGGCCTCGAACAACGGGACCTGTCCCTCTTGTGGCTGCGCGTAGATCACGGGAGTTGTACCCGAGTCTACGCGTGCCTGTACAGGTCCCACAGCAGTGATGCAGGTTCAGCTCTGATAGAGCATGTGCAAGAGGGGACTAACCGCGTGATTGAGCAGTACCCATCTGCGGAGGTGGTGGTTCTTGGAGATTTTAACGCTCACCACCAAGAGTGGTTGGGGTGCAGAACCACTAACCTCCCGGATCGGGCTGTCTACGATTTCGCCCTGGCCTACGGCCTCTCCCAGCTGGTGACACAGCCCACCCGTGTCCCAGATATTGAGGGGCACGAGCCTTCTCTGTTGGACCTTCTGCTGACCACCGATCCAGCCGGATACAGTGTGGTGGTCGACGCTCCGCTTGGATCGTCTGATCACTGCCTTATCCGTGCTGCCACACCACTCTCTCGTCCTNGGTCGACGCTCCGCTTGGATCGTCTGATCACTGCCTTATCCGTGCTGCCACACCACTCTCTCGTCCTAGTCGTCGAACGACGACCAGGTATCGAAGAGTTTGGCAGTATTTGTCAGCAGATTGGGATGGATTGCGTGAATTTTACGCATCCTACCCATGGGGGCGGTTCTGCTTTTCCTCTGCTGATCCTGACGTCTGTGCGGACCGTTTTAAAGACGTGGTGCTCCAGGGGATGGAATTGTTTATCCCCTCCTCTGAAGTGCCCGTTGGGGGTCGCAGCAGACCCTGGTATAACAATGCCAGCAGGGATGCTGCACACCTCAAGCGGTCCGCATACGTGGCATGGGATAATGTCAGGAAACGTCAAGATCCTAACATCTCAGAGGAAAGGCGGAAATATAACGCCGCTTCCAGGTCCTACAAGAAGGTTATTGCCAGGGCGATATCGGAGCACGTTGCTAGAATTGGCGAGCGACTGAAGAGCTATCCCTCTGGGAGCCATGCTTTTTGGTCGCTCGCCAAAGCTGCAGAAGGAAACTTTTGCAGGTCTAGTCTCCCACCACTACGCAAGTCCGATGACAGTTTGGCCTATAGTGCGAAAGAGAAGGCTGACCTTCTGGTCAAACTCTTCGCCTTGAACTCGACTGTGGACGACGGGGGTGTTACACCACCAAACATCCCCCGGTGTGATAGCTCCCTGCCGGATATCTGCTTCACATAGTGTGCAGTCAGGCAGGGAGCTCCGACTCCTGGACGTCCATAAGTCGAGTGGGTCGGACGGCATCCCTGCCGTTAAAGACACAAGTTTGCGCGTTGACTGCGAAGAAGGACCCCTTTGTCATGGCGCCGCAATTCCAAGGAGTATCCCTGCAACCTTCCGAGATTATTGGGATACTTGGGGTCGACATTTCGAGCGATGTCCAGTTTCGGAGTCATCTGGAAGACAAAGCCAAGTTGGCGTCCAAAATGCTGGGAATCCTCAACAGAGCGAAGGGGTACTTCACGCCTGGACAAAGGCTTTTGCTTTATAAAGCACAATTCCGGCCTCGCGTGGAGTACTGCTCCCATCTCTGGGCCGGGGCTCCCAAATACCAGCTTCTTCCATTTGACTCCATACAGAGGAGGGCCGTTCCAATCGTCGATAATCCCATTCTCACGGATCGTTTGGAACCTCTGGGTCTGCGGAGGGACTTCGGTTCCCTCTGTATTTTATACCGTACGTTCCATGGGGAGTGCTCTGAGGAATTGTTCGAGATGATACCGGCATCTCGTTTTTACCATCGCACCGCCCGCCACCGAAGTAGAGTTCATCCATATTACCTGGAGCCACTGCGGTCATCCAGAGTGCGTTTCCAGAGGTCTTTTTTGCCACGTACCATCCGGCTATGGAATGAGCTCCCCTCCACGGTGTTTCCCGAGCACTATGACATGTCCTTCTTCAAACGAGGCTTGTGGAGAGTATTAAACGGTAGGCAGCGGCTTGGCTCTGCCCCTGGCATTGCTGAAGTCCATGGGCGACGGTAACCACTCACCATCAGGTGGGCCGTATGCTCGTCTGCCTACAAGGGCAATAAAAAAAAAAAAATATTCGACTTGTTATTAATTGCAAAAAATATTTATTTTGTTTTTGTATGAGTATTATTTTGCAATCACTACGAGCGTTATTTACCAATCCTATCATCGGACGCCATGAATCACGCGTCATCTGTTGGAGGTGATGTTGAGTCAATCTCCATAATTTCCGAGAGGGAAGGTGTCCAGGCAAGACGCGATAGAAACGCCTCGCGTTCGAACAGCTCGTCAAGCGAAAAAGAACAAGAGGAGCCTCTCCGTAAGAAACGACTGGATTCAAAGGTAACGGTCGATCCTCAAATCGGCTCGTTATCCCACCAGGTCAATGACGTTGCAAATATAATAATGCATCAACTGTGTGAAACAGTTAATGTAACGGAAAGTGTTATAAACAAATTCATCCCGTCAATACGGAAATTTTGACAAAAACACAAGTGATTTAAACTAATAATATTTTTAACATAATTACTGAAAACCTTGGCAAATCGTCTCCGCCGTACAAGTTATCCGAAAAAGCGTTTCAAATTGTATATGAAAAAAAGGGCCGTATGCATAGAAATAAAAAGTCAAAGACTTGGTCTTGGTTCACCTAAACAAATCCACGTTTTTCTTCCATAGCGTGCTCGGTCGCGGAGACCTTGCGTGCAAAGGAAAGTCGAGTGCCAACCTACCCAAACGACTTGCACTTGATTCACCTAGTCAAATACACGTTTTTTGCTTCCATAGCATGCTCGGTCGCGGAGACTTTGCGTGCAAAGGAAAGTCCAGTGCTGGCTTACCTACACGACTTGCTCTTGTTTCACCAAGACAAACTTTTTTGCTCCCATAGCATGCTCGGTCGCGAAGACTTTGCGTGCAAAGGGAAGTTGAGTGTTAGCCCACCTACGCGACTTCCTCTTGGTCCACCAAAAGAAGTCCAAGTTGAATTTTCAGGCTGCAAAAGCTGTGAAGCTCTTCGATTATTTGGGCTGCCAAGTCAGTCTTACAAAAAATCAATTAGTGCACTGGTTCAACATATGGCACGTCTAGGGATTTGATGACAAATTGCGAGAAATAAAGTGGCCACTCAACAACATCCTAGCTCAAATTCCTTGACGGAGTTAAATCAATCTACGTCAACATGCAAATTTTCTTGCGAAGTTTCAAGAAAAAACACCCCCATAAAAGACAGGCCATCCTGCATGTGTTCACAAAAAAAATGCAATGCTGGCGCGGAGCCACATGTCAAACATTGCTGATACACAAAAAAACCATTTCCTGGCAACGGAAGCGTCGGACATGGGTTGGGGTTCCAATTAGACAAAACATTAACGTCCTGTGTATGGTCAGCTCAACAACTAAAACGAGACAGTCACAAAAAAGAGCTATTTGCAATGGTAGTGACAATCAAAATGAATCTGAAAGTACTTCACTAGCGTTGACCTTTCGACTTTTAAACCTAAGCGACAAGCTCAAGATAACTCTGTCAGCTTATAATCTCTCGGGGAGATACAACATCGTAGCCGACAGGCTATCACGAGGAAATCAACCTGCGAAATGGCACTTTTTACCACAAGTGACCGCAAGTGTTGCGAAAGTGGGGTCATCCGGATATAAACCCATTCGCCAACCACGATACTGCTGTAATACATTGCATATCAATAAACTGCAGAGATCGATCTGCAAACTATATGGATACCTTCAGCAGACCGTAGAGGGTGCAACTAGCATGGGGAATTCCTCCTCCCAACCGCCTCCCCCAGAGTACTGACTCACGTCAACAGTGTCTAGGGAACCTACCTGGTAGTGGACCCAGACTGAGCGAAAGAATTTGGGTTTCCAAGCCCTCAGATGCCGAACGCTAGAAATCCAGAACCAGCTAAAGAACCCGGTGGGCACGACGACACGTGACCTCCTCCACAGGGTAAACATTAACCCTGAAAGCTCAGAAAGTGGGGGGGGAGTCAACTATAGCCCCATTCACATGATATCCGAGAATAGTTCTAAATGGGTTTTCTTCAACCCCATCCACCAGCTCACTTCTCAATGTAGCTCAAAGGACACCAACAACCATGTTGCTGGCTACTGGACGCAGAGTTAATAACCTTACTTTGCTCAACATTTCTGAAGACAGTTTCTTTGATAACGGAGAAAAACATTTTTCTGATACCAGTATTTGGGTCTAAAATTGATATCCATTTTCGTCAACAATCTGCATAAGTGCTTCTAAAGACATGTGCCCAGTAAGATTCGTAAGGACTTTTTTCTGTGTGTGTTGTCACAAAAGCGGCATCCCGTACTGTAATTTGAAACTGGTCTTCACTCAACCTTACGAGGTAGTGGCATCAACGCATCTCTAGGAAGTTTTAGATCAACAGTAGCCTCTTTGAGCTGGATTGATAATGAACCAATGGACGAAATACTTTCTAGAGGCAATTGCAAATCATCCAAACGTTTACAATAATGATTGCCGAATAATAGAGCTTCCTAAAGATCCTCCCGATTCTTTTTTCAAAACATTTACTCCTACATGATGTAAATACAAACAACTTATAAATATTTTTTAATCATGGAGTTAACATGAAAGTTAACAGATGTGTTCTTACGATTTAATAATTATATAAATTATGAACATTATCATTGCGCTTCATAATTTTATTATTACTTTACCTATTTCACCATAGCGTTGTGCTTAATAATTTCACCAGCAGATAGATAACAAACACGTCTTCATAATACAATGCTGTATGTTTTCCAAAGGCTGATCAATATTACGGTTTTACAAAACAATAAAACCGATATTATGTGCCGAGAAGGAAAACATACAGCATTGCAGGAAGTTCTTCCTGGTGAAGACTATGAAGATCAAAGATGGCTGCGCTACCTTTATACTTGCTGGTAGCATCTGGCGGCTAAAGATGGAACTAAATTGACTGTTTATGGTTGGACATAGACAAGGAATTTAGGCTAAGTACACACGGCTTCTGCATAATACAATGCTGTATGTTTTCCTTCTCGGCGCATAATATCGGTTTTATTGTTATGTAAAACCGTAATATTATTAACGTTAAATATTTATTATTAATTATGTAATATTAAAAAAAAAAGAAATAAATTTAATAAAAATAAAGTATAACTTCTTATGCGCGTACATAAGTACACGCACCCTTTTTTTAAAGTTATCAATCAAGTAACAATGTACCTGCGCTATGGTGGATCTTTGAATCGTTACACCAGAATTCACAGAATCATCCGTTTTTTTTTTTAATTACGAAATATAATGTTCGATTCCTAATGACTCACAGTGTAATGAATTTCGGAAGGTAAACGAACATGACATAAAAGCAGCAACATAATAGTCTCCACCTTCAGCAAAAAATATGTACAAATTATTTATATTATTTTTTACACTCTATAATTGATTTAAGATAATATTCAACTATTGTTATAACTCAAAACAAACAATCAGGATGACATCAAGACGAACGATGTTTATTTGTATAACGTATACATACATACGGTCACAAAACAAACATACCCGATTAATTGCGTCAGTGGAACTATTTTTATTAGAGCTTCCGCGGTCGATGTTTGAAGTTTTTGAATGTACGTATTTCTTATCACGCCTCGAAGTCGACGTTCTTGGTGGGACGGTAGCTTGACATGCCTGCACATACGGCCGATTTCCATGTCAATGTCATGTTACAGTACGTTAAGTGACTTTGTGTAATTGTTTGTATTTAACCCTTTGACGGCAGGCGATTTCTGTTACTAAACGTCTGGTTTGCCTAGCTTTGCCTTCTTTTGTTTGTTAGTTTTGTGTGTTTTAGTTTTTTAGTTCTCTTAGAAATATATTAGTTCTCAGTATCTTCGGATTCGTCTTTCCCGGAGTCAACTAGATATTACGGCGTCTTAATAACAGAAATTGGCATAATTACTGCAGTGCGCTACGTAGGGCACCGGCGACCTACATAGCGGTCAAAGGGTTAAGAATCCTTACCGATGAAATTGCCGATTCTCAATACTTTCAACTTCGGAATCGAGTACGTACGTTTGTTTGAGAATACCAAAAATTCGGATTTATTTAAAATTGAGCCTACCAAAGCTTTATTACGAGTGTTCGGGTGTTCGTTTGTTTTTTTATAGTTTCATTATGCACTCAAATCGATGATTTCTAAATTTTTTTTCTACCTAAGCTGATAGTCTTGAGAGGCCATTTCAGCGTAACCTTAGCTAGTAAGTGAGCTCACGGGGCTCAAACCGGAGTGATGCTAACACTGACCCTAGAAAGAGCAGTGCTTCGTAGAATCTACCACCGGATCGGAAACGCGACCCACTGAGAAGATCCGACAAGAAAATCAATGAGCTGTGTCTGTGGGTTAATTCGCTCGTCGAGCCCTTCGTCGCAAGCGACGGGTTCGACGAGGACGGTCACCGGTACTTGTGGTACCTAAAAACACCGTTAATGGATCGAGAGGATCCGTAATCACATAGATCCAAATCGATGATTGTTCCCGACTATGGAAATGTGGATCGAGCTGCAGTTAGAGCTCGATCAAACAACAATGTTTCCGAACCAGCCACCTCTCGTTACGAACGTAAGGTGCATTTTTTTGTTTCAAAATCATCCTCATAAACGCAAGCCGATAATGAAATGTTAAAAACCACGTGTTACGGAAGCGACACTCCCTAGAGTCACGTCAGAGGTGACTGACTATATAAAACATTTTTGTTCAATTACCCAACGAATTGGGTAAATCTCAGCAGCAAATACGCGCTTAGTGCCGCACTGGCCTGATTCTAGGATCGTAATTTGTGACGATTAATTAAGCCTTAACGATAATCGGAATCGTCTGTCAAAAAAGTCCTACATAACCGATCCAAACATCTCCTAGTTGGCTCTAACGAAGTTATTAGTGAATTATTAATTCATTAGCGCTGGTGTTCAGATCAGATCAAGCCGGAGAATTTACTGCCTACGTATGATCAGCAATTGCAAAATAATATGGGAAATCTCGTCGATTAGTAATCGATTGACTGATCGATTACTATACTTACTGCTACTACACAAGAACGATCGACAGACAGCACACGACAAAACGTCGCCAAATTATTTAAGCTGCGACTGAACTCTCCGTCATATATCGTACGCTCTAAGCGAGCTAGGATTTCCAACGGACTTCTATTCTTTTTCTGAAATTTAGAGGCTTCTTAGAAAAAACAATTTGTCAATCTTTGAGGTATATCGATTTTATTGAGATAGATTTTAAAAAAAAACATTACTTTTTCTATATAAACGGCAATTTCATAGGCAAGTGCATCAAACAATTCACGATTGTAGATCGCTGTAAATAGCAACGGTATGTCGTCGTTATAGTCCAGCCATTACAAGGGGTTGACCTCGGAAAATCGACATACCCAGTATATTGATTATCACATAAAAACTCGTATTTTGGCATTCTAAAACTATTCTCAAAATTCACATATGGATGGTCGCAAGTTTTAAAGGTCAAGGTTAAAGTAAAGTTTAGTGTAAACTTTAAGGTCAAAAGTCACAAATCGATATTTGTCGATTTTCGATTCGATGCAATTTAAGTATTTTCCTCAACAATTTCTTAATTACATGGCCAGTGAAGTGTATTAAATAAATTGACACTTAATTAAAAACAGATAAGTAACAAATAAAAATTAATTTAATCTAAAAGTTAGTAAAAAATGTTAATAAAAATATGATTTATCTATATATTAATACGTGAAGGAAAAACTTTGTATCCCATTTTACGAAAATTGCGCGGACGGAGGAGTATGAAATTTCCCACTTATAGAGAATATATAGAAGGAGTGCCGAATGTTAATATTTTTTTAAAGTTATGCCTAAAAAATACATTAAATCATTAAAAAAAACATTACACACACTACCACGTATTTGACGCACACCCGCATGCATACTACTTATTTATTGTCAAACTTTTGTTCTTGACGTTTGTGGTCAAATTGTGAATAGATTAAACATTGTTTGTCTTTATTAATATTTTTCTATAGTGTATTCTTGGCGAAATTTGTGATTATAGAAGTATAATAGTCTTTGAAAATAGAATCATAATAGTGTACAAACTTACAATTTCAATTAATTAAAGTCGAATTTCAACTACTGCGGGACCACTAGTAATTATATATTTAGCAATAAATTATAACCTTAATATTACGAGTTTATGATCTACCAGTGACTTTTTGATTACCAGTGGACCTCAGATAATTCTCTGACCGCGCGCTCTACGCCCTCTATTTCGATAACAGTTCAAGGTATAGAAAAATGTTAAATAGAAAAGTTGTAGAGAAATTTATTCTCTACAATATTATCAATAAATAAAGCATAAAACCCATGGAAAACGAGACTTGCAAAAAATGTTAAAAAAATATCGATTTTATGACCTTTGACCCCTGATTTTAAAACTTGCGACCTTCCAATTATATGTGAATTTTGAGAATAGTTTTGGAATGCCAAAATACAAGTTTTTACGTGGTAATATACTGGGTATGTCGATTTTTCGAGATATTCAGCTAATTTGGCCTAAAATGACTGGACTATTACGTAATGTAACTTACACAGTTAACATATGCAAAAAGTTCGTCGTGTTTTGTAAGCATTCGAATGAATTATGAAGAATTTAATCTTAATGGATATAAAATACAACATTAGAATTATTAAAATTTATTTCTCAATTTTACATCAATCTCTAGCCAAGCTAAATGAGTTCAGTCGAGGGGAGCGTTGTGCCATCAAAAGTGAAGGTAATTTTTTATTTATTTTTAATTATTTGTTTCATAAACTTACCTCTTCATAGTTGCTATTGGCCAAACACAAGGGATTCATTGTGTTTGTGGGTGTGAACTGAGCATTCGGTTGCGGCGTGGTCTGTTGCATAGGATAGTTAGTGTGCGGGTTCATTGGTGAGTACACGAACGGCGAACTGTACATCGGCTGACCGTATATAGGCTGACCGTACAATACACATTGCACTGGAAAAAAGAAAATTAATAACGTAGTTTGTTATTCGTCACCATCAAAAACAGAGGTCGTTGACTTGGTTGTGAAGTTTTTTATTTATTTTTTATTGCTTAGATGGGTGGACGAGCTCACAGCCCACCTTGTGTTAAGTGGTTACTGGAGCCCATAGACATCTACAACGTAAATGCGCCACCCACCTCGAGATATAAGTTCTAAGGTCTCAAGTATAGTTACAACGGCTGCCCCACCCTTAAAACCGAAACGTATTACTGCTTCACGGCTAGGCAGGGCGGTGGTACCTACCCGTGCGGACTCACAAGAGGTTCTGCCACCAGTAATTACGCAAATTATAATTTTATGGGTTTGATTTTTATTACACGATGTTATTCATTCACCGAGGAAGTCAATGGTGAACATCTGTTGAGCACGTATTTCATTAGAAAAATTGGTACCCGCCTGGAATTCGAAAACCGGTGCATTGATCAACACGTATGCACCGGACGTCTTATCCTTTAGGCCACGACGACTTCACAACTCGTTGGTAGCCTAAGGGACTATTCCAGTTACGCTCTGGCTAGTAGGTGAGATCACGGGACTCAACCTGGTTACGTTGCTAACACTAACCCTAGCAAGAGCAGTGCTTCGCAGAATCTAGCACAAGATCGAAAACGCGACCCACTGAGAAGATCCGTCGAGAAACTCTGTGGACCGTGTCTATGGGTTAATAGTTATTAGAATAGGTAGAATAAGGTTGGCGACAATTATTATGTACATCAAATAACATACTAGCTTAATAGTACTTTCGAGAAACAAAATACAAATTTAAATGTCCGTTTTATTTTTCGAGTAGTACTGCAGTGTATTACATATAAGCCATATAATCTACATATATATATAAATAAAATGCTGTTCGTTAGTCTCGCTAAAACTCGAGAAAGGCTGGACAGATTTGGCTAATTTTGGTCTTGAATTATTTGTAGAAGTCCAGAGAAGGTTTAAAAGGTAGATAGATTATACATATATGAAAATTCCTTTTGTTTGTTTTAAGTTTATTTTATACAAAAGTTTAGGTCTTTTATTTATCGATTGAGGTACTACGAAGTCTGCCGGGTCAGCTAGTTAGTAATAATAAAGGAGTATTAAACCAACACTCGGACAAGACAGTTGTTTTCATTCGAACAAGAAACTCCCTTCATTGGCCTCAGCCTTCAGTACAACTTACTTGGAGGTGGAGCATACTGCTGTGGATTATTATGAAGATTTTGATGGTTCGCGGCCTCCGATGTGGAAGGCACGGGAGCCATTGTGGCCATCGGAGTGTAATACAACGGAAGCATTCCTGTAATACGCAATTATTAAATGAGCATCGAACAAAAAAAATAAATAAAATAAATATTTAAGGTGCATTTAGTGACAGCAGTGAAAACATCAAAATTATAATTAAGACAAATGAGGAGCAGTGCAAAAAGCACTATAATTGAATAGTGTTTCGAAAACGTTATAAATATCGCGGTGCATTTTATTCAAGGCTCTAAGTGCAATTTCACTAATGCAAATACAATCCAAACTATTTCCACTGCGCGGAAATAGTTTCAATCACATCTACAGTAGTAGGGGAGCCCAAGCGAGAATTTCGGGGTTCCTGCTTTATCAGAAGCCAATGCAGCGCATGTATTATTAATGTCTGACGCGCCCAGGTATATTTCTATGGGAATAGTTTTTTTTTGTAATTTCGAAAAATATCACCCCAGCTAGTGACAGGGTATTAATCATACAATCTTTTTTCTAGTATCTGGTCTTCACAATTCAGAACCTTCTCACGGGCTTCCCTACTTTAGCGGTTATGCTGCAAAAGCGCTTTCATGTGTATGCTTGTTTATTTATCAACAATATGACAAATGGAAAGAATTTTTTAATATTGTTGAGCGAAGCTACATTGAGCTATTAATTTGTTTGATTGTGCTTTATCTATTTTCTAAGGTATAGCATGAGTTTTAAAACACAACATATAGTATTTTTATATATACCTAATTTTCCTTTATCTGGCATGAATTGTAAAGGATATTTGTTAGTTCACATTATTTATTAATTAAACAATTTCATTATACATTATTTACATATTTGCATACGCATTTACCTGCCATTGGCGGAACCGGACTTATAAGGGACATCTGTGGAGCCATTCCGACTCCTAGTATGAATGTGTTCATATTTCCAGCAGCATTGGTGCTGGGTGGCCAGGTAGTCGAGGCTGATTAAATTAAAATCTAGTATATAATAGACACGTGACTTTTGTCAGAGGAAGTTGTATAGTATGTTAGACGAAGTCTGAAAGTGGCACCTGTGACAGAGAAATGCGCGTTTGTGATAGTATGGCCATGTGATGAGATGAAATGAAAACGAGGTTGATAAGAGATTGTTAACTATGAATGTGGAAGGATATAGAGGAAGAGGTAGACCTAAGAAGAAATGGATTGCGTGAAAGACGATATGTGTAAGAGAGGAGTGTGCAAAGAAATGATAATGATAAAGGAGTATGGAAGGCGAAAACGTGTTGCGCCCAGCCCAGGTGACTGGAAGAAGGGCATGAGAATGATGACGATGAGACACGTGACTTTTGTCTTACTAGTCTACTATCATTTAAATTACGGTTATAGGTAGAAACTTTAGACATACGGAGACTATAGGTAGCGATCACGGCATAAATTTCAAGACAAGAGATCGGCTAACTCAGTTGTGCAGTAATTAGCGCCTCTGACTGTCGCTCTGAGGGTCCTGGGTTCGATTCCCACATCAGGCTGACATGATGTGATGAACAAGTTTGTTTGCTCTTTGTCTGGGTATTTATTTTCTATATATGTATACATTTAAACATATATCAGTTTGTTTATCAGTCTCTGGTACTCATAACACGGATAATCCTAATTTGGGACCACCGTGCGTGATTTCTTCCCAGTTTTTATTTATTTATATCGGCTGTCAGCATAATTAAGGATTATTCTACCAGACATAACGCTTATACATGTATGATTTTATAGGAATATTATCTTTATCTTATTATTAGGAATATCTTACCAACAGAAGTAGTCAAAGTGGACGAAGTTTGTACAGGCGCCGCACTGGTGGTTTGCCTAGGTCTAGACGCTCTGGGCGATGGACAATGGTATTTGTGCGATACAGTTTCCGTTTCGATATGTTTCGAAGCACGTTTGACACCGTGAGGCTGTCGGGGATAATTTTAATTAATGTTATATTTTAATTTAAACGGCCGTCTGGTGTAGTGGTAAGTGACATGGTCACTACAAAAGGGGGTCGCGGGTTCGAATCCCGCCAAGGGAAGATATTTGTACGATAAATATAAATGTCTTCCAGGGTTATGGATGTATATTAAATATATGTATGTGTATAATAAAAATCTTACATTTATTTCCGTTATCTGGTACCTGTAACACAAGTTCTTTACGAACTTATCACGGGACCAGTTAACGAGGCGTGATTGTTTAAAAAGAAAATATATATATATATATCTAATATATAAAATTCTCGTATCACGGTGTGCGTGATTGAACTCCTCCGAAACGGCTCGACCGATTTTCGTGAATCTTAGCGTGCACATCGGCCAGGGTGGAGAATCGGACAACATCTATTTTTCATCACCCTAAATGTTAAGGATGGTCCACCTCTAAATTTAATTTTTTAGACCAAATTTTTTGTTTTATTTTTTTATGATACAGCATAGAAAAATACATACAACCCTAGTTTTTCACCCCTCTACGATCAACCCCTATTTTTTATTTGTTAATTATAAAGTTTATTTTTTTTGGCAAGAACTTTTTTTATTTTGTCATAGCTTAAAATTAAAAAAAACATATTTCTCTCAATTTTCACTCTTAATTAATTTCACTCTTTGTGCCACTTGGGTCAATGATGTGACCAAACATCTAGGAGTTTGGGGCGAAAGTTTGTTTGTAAGGCTCCGTTATTTGTACAAAAGTTTAGCTCTTTTATTTATCGATTGAGGCACTACGAAGTCTGCCGGGTCAGCTAGTTCTGCATATATATTTTTTTTTATTCTATGCTCAGATCCGAAATAAGGTTGCAAGATGGCAATCACATATTATAATTGTAGTACGATAAATTCTGATTCAGAGTTTATAATTTCAAGTTCCTTTAATTGATTTTTTTTTACATTCAATTTGATCTCCCGCCCTCGCCGGTCGACTACTGATCAACTATCAATCGATCAGTTATCCCCGCCAGGTGTCACCACTCATCCAGCAAACATCACGTAGTAGGGATGAGGACGAAGCCGGTCTCCTGTCTTACTCACTATACATTTTTCAGCCATGTTTTTTTGGTTTTATTTGTGTATCAATCGTAGCAGTGACTGTTATACCTATTATTTTATTTTTTCTGTGCAACTCTCATGTTAATTTTACTGCCATCGTAAAATTATCATTAATTTCCAGTGCAATAATTATTTCACTCATTTACCAGATCCTTACACACTACAATAAGTTAGTTTTTTTTTGTTTACACTAGATATTCCCTAGAAATCTTATATATGGTAAAACAACGTTTGCCGGGTCAGCTAGTATACATATACATTATGTAGGAACGGAACGGAGCGATATGGATGAATGACAGATATGGAGCATGACTGAGTGAGAGAGATAGAAGATGTCGTGTTAGGACGTAAGAAAGACGGCGAATGAATGCGGAACACCTAGTTTTATTTCATAAGCAACGGGGAGTGGTTTCCGGACGCGACGACGCTTACTGCTTCACGGCAGAAATAGGTACGGTGGTGGTACCTACAAGTATGGACTCACAAGACGTCCTACCACCAGTAATAATTAATTTTGTTTGAAAGTCTGAATATTGTTTGTATTCAACAGTTAGTTGCAGCCATTGACGAACGAGTCTTACTGTTTTGAATAAACTAATTTATTATTGTCATTTTACTTTTACTTTACACAAAATGTCAATAGCAAAACAAATGAAGAATAATATGTAAATCTTGACCTACTATGTAATGATTTTTTTAAAACTTTCATAATCAGTCGACCGAGAGCTCGTTTTTGTAAATAGTCTACTGGTAAAATGAAGCACGTTAACTTAATCTTGATCTAGATTTTTTTTCAAAACTAGTACATAGGCAATAACTTGTGTGACGTCACATGTGGGTACAATAATAAACGGCAAGTTAAATAACTGGCAACGACGTCCAACACGGTCATTCCTGTTTTTTAACAAATTATAAAATCCCAAACAAAGCTTATTGATTTGAAAATGGATGGACTAGCGGTAACGGACATCCGGTAACGGTAGCTATTAGTAATTAATCACAAGAATAAATAATTTAAACTATAAATACATTATAAATTGTATTTAACTGAGAATACCAGTAAAATTATAAAAACTTTTTTTTAAAATATTTTTATAGGCAATCTAAGCATTTTTTTAGATAATGTTCGATTATACTTGGTAATAACAACCCTTTTGTTTGACATGTGTTATGGTATTATTTATTGAAAAATACAGATTACTTTTCAATAAATAATACTATAACAGATTACATTAAAATTATAATTTGAGTATTACCCACACCGCCGCGTGCGCTTGACGTGGTCCGTATAATAAATAATAATAAAAATTTGCTAACAATCACGCCACATTAACTAGTCCCGTGCTAAGTTCGTAAAGAACTTGTGTTACAGGTACCAGATAACGGAAATAAATGTAAGATTGTTATGATACACATACATATATTTAATATACATCCATAACCCTGGAAAAGACATTTTATATTTATCATACAAATATCTTCCATTGGCGGGATTCGAACCCGCGACCCCCTTGTGTAGTGACCATGTCAATTACCACTACACCAGACGGCTGTTAAAGACGGCCGTATAAGGAACTACATTTTTTAAACGCGAGACAAAGGGCGCGAAGCCATACGGCCTTAATGTTGTTTGCATAAGCAGTGGGAATCAGTCATTTACCCAAAAAGGTGGGGTAAATATTCAAGGTTATTACTTTTTTATACACTTCTTTGTCCACAGGTGTGGTGCTGGTCGCGGTTGGATGAAACGAAGCTTTACACCTCGCTAGATGTTCCTTTTTCTTCTGTCTCGTTTCGTTAGATGTCTTATCTCTTTCTCCTTTACTATTGGACCGGCTCTCTCTATGCATATTTATCAGTTCCTTTTCCATTTCATCATTGTGTCTGAAAATCAACTTTTAATCAGTGGATAGATTATCTGAGAATTTAGTTTTTTTTTTTTGTTATTCCTCATACTTCTTCATAATGTACATATGAAAATAAATATAAAGGAATAACACACATATGATTAAAAAAACGTAGAATACACCGATGGAAACTATGAAGAGACCCAGCAAAAATGCGTATTAAACATGATCATTCACTTTTTATAAAAAAATAACTTATAGCCTTAAACATCAAAAACATTTTTAAATTTTTACGGATTTAGGCATAGACATTTTTATTCAACTTCCTAGTCTCTATATGGAAGTCGTTTCACTCGAAATTTGAATTAATATATTGAACCTTATACGGTACTAGCTGTATCCGTCCGCTTCGCTGGGCAATTAAAATTAACATTATTATTTCTCACCCGCACAAAGATCATTAACGCCCCCGCAACTGGTGTAAGGAGTCCAACACTCATATAAATATTAGCCTATCCATTAAGTACATGTATTTTCTACATGGATACCAAGTTTCAAGTCAATCGGATGCACGGTTCAGTAGTTATAAGGGAACATCCGTAAAAACCACTGTAGTTTTATATATTGGTATAGATTAAACGTTGTTGTGTTAGAGTTTCGCTGTGTTTCAAAACTGAATGTTGGTAAACTCACTTGGTTAGTAGGAACTCGGTGAGCCGAACGTGGTGGTAGTCGCCTAATATACCCACAGGACTTACTCCTCCCAGGGCCATACTACTAGAATCGGACGAACTATTCAACTCGGTCGAATCGCCAGAGTTCTGAGCCATTGGTGATAAACAAGTACTGAAAAAAAACATTATTACTAATTAATAATTATTCACATTCACAAAACACATAATAGGATTTAATACAAAAAATAATGACAAATACACTAAATATTTCTTTCAAGACATCTCTTTCAGGAGACCTGCCCGAAAAATAATAATTATGCATATCGACGTTTGAAAGGCAAACGTGACTAAGCGACAATGCGTGAACTGTACAGTAGACTAATTTAAAGTTGAAATACCTGGAAAAAAAAACTATTTTAACGAATCTAGCTGTAGGATTGAAATGATTTTAATAGACCTAGAAATATATATTTTTTGCGCATCGAATATGGTTATTGCCTATCATTTATGTACAAAGCAATTATTGTCGCTTAGTCACGTTTGCCTTTCAAGCGTCGATATACATATTATAATAATTTCGATCGTTTACAACCGTTGTAGCATTTGTAAAAGTCAATAAAAAAATATTAGATAAAATTGCTTTTTGGTGTTAGCACGCGAGCCAATTGTCAAACGTCATAAAAAAGATTGTAAGCAATAAGCGATATTGAAAATTTAAACTCGAAAATAGCGAAGTCTAGCAAAAGAGACGCGAGCTTAGAAACCTACAACTCAAATGCAAAATTCATTGCACGACTATCCGTTGAGTCATATTCATTAATCGTAAGCATTAAATAATATAAACTTAAATAAAAGAAAATTAAGCTTTTTTTTTATAATATACTAGCTGACCCGGCAGACTTAGTAGTGCCTCAATCGATAAATAAAAGACACATCAAGGGGACACATCAAAGGAAAAACAAAATTGTTTGTTTTTATATAATTCCGAATTTTTTTATATTTTTACCTTCACCTTTTAAATCTTCCCTGGACTTCCACGAATAATTCAAGACCAAAATTAGCCAAATCGGTCCAGCCGTTCTCGAGTTTTAGCAAGACTAACGAACAGCAATTCATTTTTATATATAGAGATAAGGTAGTAGTAAAATTTCTACAATAATGTAAATCAAAATGGCGGCTTAAGAAAATAGTGCATTATCATATTTTCAAGTTACACGAGCTTTTATTTCGGACGATACCTAATTAAAACTAGAAAATTTTACCTTAGTATCGATTTTAAATTATTTGGCTCCTTTGCCACAATCAAGGGATTGAAGTTCTCGCTCGAAAAGGGTTCATGACTGTCGAAATATCTAGAAAAGTAAATCATATTAAATATCCTTCTTGCCTCTTCGATGTCACACAGTGATGCGCATCCCAGTTTAGAAATACATAGTTTTAGCTGCACATCGAACATAATTACTTAAAAATCAATTCATCGCATCGTATATAACTAAAATGACATGATTTTGTAAAAACAATTCCAATAGTTTCAATTCAATGGAGTATAGGAAAATTAACGTTGAGAACGAATTCATGATTGTGTTGCGTTAATTTAGTGTTCACCATACGAATAACATTGATACATACATATATACATCCATAGAAAACATTATTACCTTTGTAATGTCTCGTTATAGTTTAGTTGATTATAACTCAGCGGTGTTTCTGTGCTTGATTTGCTGTCATTGTAGTCGTGATGGGGAGATATCCCGCCGAGCATTACCGAATCACGCTCCTGACAAATCGTGTACATACACATACATAAAGTATTAGCAAATATACATATTTATAAAATTGAATTCCGTTAAATTAGGTTTGAACTAGAGCACTAGCTGTGTTTATAGTATTGCTCTTGTCCTTAGTAGTTCCAATAGTCAATAACGTATGGTTTGTTTAACGGTAATTACAGATTCTAGTTAATCTTGATTTTGTTTTACAACGAGAACGCGTTATGATACAACTAATAAAACAAAATAAATGCCTTAACGCGGTGTTTCTCAACGTGGGACCCACGCCCCAGAAGGGGACAATTTCATAATTAAGGAAGACAATCGCACTACATTAATATAGAAAATCTGTATTAAAATTATTTTGAATTTTAATTTAAGTTTTTTTATTATATGTTTCGAAATATTAGTTATTGTGTTTTGATAACGATTTCATATTGATTTATTCCTAAAATCTATAGTTTATATTTCTTAACCGAACAAATCACTTTTTTAATGTTAAAAATTATGTATGGGCGGCATAGAAGTTTTAGAAATGTTACAGTGATGCATGGCACAAAAAAGGTTGGGAAACACTGCTTTAATGGGTACGAGTTATTCCTAAGGGCCTAATATCCTATTTATAACGTACAAACAACAAATGTGTTGTCAAAGTTGAAAATGAGTAACATTCGCCCCCAATAAGTTTGAAATTTATAGAAGTTTTTTAGCCTTATGTACTTCGCCCTGTGGTTGCAGTTATTGTCGTCTTCATTGTTTGAAATGAGTTGAACAAAGTTATTGTCTATCTCGTTCTCACGCATTCAATTGAATAAAAGGCCTGACGGTACTTTTGCTGTATAAATTTAGTGCTGTCATCGAGTATTGAAACAATTAATAAATTACTTTTTATGATGAAACTACTATTTAGAACTTTGATTTTTTGTACATTTTAACGTGATCTACCTATACTGTTGTTTTTTTATGATGGATGGATTACTGGTGGCCTGGAGGCTTTTCCAGTTTCACCAAGACAGGTAGACAGGAGGGCGAGCCAAGGCTTAGCTAGGAGGAGTGCTAACGAGTGCCCGAGCGCATCTAAAGGAGACCTAGCAACTCAAGAGTAGCGTCTTACTGGTAGTAGGACCTCTTGTGAGTTCGCGCGGGTAGGTACCACCGCCCCGCCTATTTCTGCCGTGAAGCAGTAATGCGTTTCGGTTTGAAGGGCGGGGCAGCCGTTGTAACTATACTGAGATCTTAGAACTCATATCTCAAGGTGGGTGGCGCATTTACGTTGTAGATGTATAAGGGCTCCAGTAACCACTTAACACCAGGTGGGCTGTGAGCTCGTCGACCCATCTAAGCAATGAAAAAAGTATTTGGGAATGAATCTGCTACCGGATCGGAATCGCGACCCACTCAGAAGATCCTGCGAGAAACTCAGAGGGCTGATGCATGGGATATCGTTGATACTATATCCGCGTTTCGGTTTGATGTGCTCATTGTGGGACACCCTGTATATGACAACTACTACTAGTTCGCGCGATTCCCGTTTCGTCACAGTTATTGAATAAGTTAAAAAAAAACCAAATCCCTGGATTTTATAAGCATGAAAACTGTGCAAATACTATGTTCAAAATGCATGGTTTTCGAGTGTCTTTAACTTGTGTGGGTAATTGTGCACAAAATATATTCAATTTAGAATACGCCAAATCTTTTACTGAAAAAAAGGGCCTTATTCACAGAGTCAAGCGAGCTTAAAGCTTTCAGCTCATTTTGAATTCTGTGCTATGTTGGCCCAGAATTTTGGACCTGTTGAGAACATTATATGTACTTACATAATAACTGTGGTCCGGATCCTGTATTTCTAGGCGTAATTCCTCGTCATTTTTCGGTGGTTCCTCCATGAGGCTCTCCATGAACGACGCTAAGTCCTGGCAACGCTTGCTCATTTGCTGTTTGGCAACTTCCGCTGGTTTCGTTAGAGCCTGAAGTTGTATACATACGTTACATACCTTATTAAAAAGAGACACGTATCATTCACGCCACGATCGTTTGAACAAAACATAGACGTTTTTTAGAGTCCACATTTAACATTAGATTATCGATTAACTGAAAATCTTAAGGGGTCGTTGCACGGTCGTATCAATAAGTACTAACTAATACTGTATAACACAAGAAAAGTTTAAATCCATTAAAAAACGAGTGGTAAATATTATATGCATGCAGCACAAACCTCATTCATAAGTTTAACGATATTCTCGCGAAATACCATGGACTTTTTTATTTGTTCGTCGCATAATTTTGTATGTTTCTCCGGATCTTGGGACTGGAATACATCTGGATTCTCGGGGCCCTAGAATTGTATTTTTAATCACATTTTTTTTTTTTTATTTATTAACATTTTACTTGACTGACCCGAAAGATATAGATACAAACAGAAACAAAAGTAAATTTTTAAGACGTCAATAGAAATAAATGTTTGGTTTTTATATCCTTTCTTTTGTATTAATGTCTTGTACCTACAAACTATTAGTAATGTAGTAAAATCTGATATAATGTTGGTATCGACCGACCAAGGCGTAGAAAAATAGAATAATTGTCTACTTTTTAAAAAACAAAAAGCACTCCTGAATAACTATAAACCGATCTCCATTTTGAGCCACATATATAAGTTGTTCCAACAAGTCATCACATCACAATTGTGTAACAAAAAGGTTAGACGAATTTGCAACCCTCTTTAACCGACCGGGTTTCGGAGTGGTTATGATATCCTAGACCACATACACACAATACCACAGATTATACTAAAGTCCACAGAGTATTATCGGCCCCTGTGCTGTGCCATTCGTGGACTAATAGAAGACTTTCGACTATACCGAACCCTGGACCGTACTGCCAAATAAACCTTCGCTAGGTCCAAGTCTTGAGATGCCTCTATAGCTCCGCCAAAATGAATGTTCGAGTACAAAATTAAATGTCTAATCCTATCTAATGGTGTAGGAGAATGAGGGAGGGACATTAAATTTACCCGAACTTATTCACTAGCATATTGGGCGGAGGATATATGTTCTAGACGCTGAACTCAATAAAGAATGGGATTGGCCCTTAATATTTATGCCCATTCTTTATTGAGTCTCACATTTGCCGTTTGCAGATGACATTGTCCTTATGGTGGAATCGTGGCAATCGATCTGCAGCAGATGATAAACGGCTTAGCAGACTGTTCACACCGAATTGGACTCCCGATGAACATAAATAAAACTCAAATTATGTTCAATGCTCATTAGTTCGGGTCCAGTCGTCGTAAAGGGCTATCCTCTTGAAGAATGTATATCCTACAAGCAGACGTTACAGTTGGGTAAAAACAACTTGGAGAGGGGACCTAAGAAGAAGTTCCAGCTGAGCTGGGGAGCGTTTGGCAATGTAAGTTGTATTTTTGTCGCCCATTCCACACTGTCTGAAAACGAAAGTTTGCAACCAATATTTCCTACCGGTTATGACTTACGAAGCAGAGACGTGAACACTCACAGTACGGCTTGTCCGTGAGCTCAAAGTCGCTTGGGAAACTATCGAATGACCCGTGCTCGGGGCTTTTCTGAAGAATAGAATCTGGACTAAGATTATTTGATTGAGAAGTATTCATCAACGTAGCTCAATAGAAATGTATCGGCAAACGTAATGTGGTACGACCTTCGCCAGGTGGAGCAATGACTTGGTCCTTGGAAGAGTGGCCGGCAAGAAATGGATGAGGAGAGCCGAAGAGTGAGCTCAAGGGAGAGACCAATATCCGGCAATGGACTCTTGTGGCCTGATCATTATGATGATGATAATGAGGTAGCTAGTGATCGATGGTGGACACTCACTTCAATGATGTAATGTTTCCCGATGACGAATTCCAGCTTCTTCGACCAAGGATTAATAAACGAAGACCATTCGGTTTCGATTTTTATGTAATCACCGTTTTGTGTCATCATTCTGAAATTATATTTCCGAAGTGAATTTGTTTACGTATTCGACACAATGTTTTATTTATTTATTGTTAAAATAAATTTAAATGGATATTTATAAATGTTATTAGTTTATTAAAAACGTAATACCTAATACCAATAATCATACTGCGCAAATGGTCGCTATTCCGACGCTCCGTACTTTGAACGGATTAACAGAGAATCTAAATAACGACGAGTCGCACTCAAAGGGTTAACAGTGTTTGAATCATCACTACCTTCATGTTGTAGGTTGAAATTAGTAAAATTATTAGGAGGTTTTCAATAGTTTTATAATATGACTGTCATTTGAATCGTCAACAGAGTAAATAATATATAGGGTTTCTTAAAACCAATCACGACGACATTTCAAATAAAGGTCATATTTAACTAAAATAAATGACAAAATTTAATATAAAAAAAGCCTATTCGTTCTTCGAAACGGTTTTATTAAAATGAAAGAAATAAAAAAAGAAAGCCAATGCCCATTGATCAAATAATACTACCTAATTAACCGACCACTGACTAATTACATTAACCATTGATCACATTTAGAACTTATACTTTAATTATTAATAACACCGGTGTTGTGTTTCTTTTATTTACCTGTAAGTTTTGGAACGCGGCATGCCACCATCCTTAACGATTACCTCGTATACTTGCTGGAGGTATTCCAAATCTTCCGGATGATAGAGTTGCAATGCGTCCTTGTCTTGGACATCTTGAGGTAAATATCCGAGATAAGGTACAGATTCTGGGTCTAAGTACTCGAGATTACCATTCGCGGAGTGACGCATCACGAAAGGATTAACTTTCGGTAATATTTCAAACGACGCTAGAAGAATAAAATAATACTAACATGATTATGAACACTAATACGAAACTATTTTAAATGGAACACTGAATGCGTCCTTAGACTATTGTCGTCCACTGAACGACGTAATAAGTATTGCGCGATGCGATAGTGATGTTACGCAACACACCACGGTATCGATAAAACAAGTCCAATTAAGAGGCAAGAACTCTAATGGACACGGTATCAACAGAGCGAGATCGTTTTCTGTTCGATTGGCAACCCTAAGAATTAACGGATAATAATTTAAAAAAACGACACAGGCTGATTGATACTTATAAGGTCAAAAATCTGATAATGACATCTGTCCAAATAAATCGGCTTGATTCGAGCATTACCTGAATAGATACTAATTGTCTCTTGAGTTTTTTTTTTATTGCCCTTAAGGGTGAAGGAGCTCACGGCCAGCCTGCTGTTAGGCGATTACCGGAGCTCGCCGACGTCAGAGCGTTAATGACGTCACATGCCTTTAGGCATGAGATCGTAGTTCTAACCATGTATAATGGCCGTCCCACTATTTATTACAGATCGGAATAAATGACCGCTTCGCGACTAGACCGTACGGGTTCTACATGCCAAGCGAAAACGAACTTTAAATTCGTTAACGCGAAAATATAAAATTGAATTTGATCGTTTCTTTTATTTTTATGCCTTGACATTAGAAAGAATATGGTTCAATTTGAATGATTTGATGATTTGATTTGAATGATTTGATTTGAAATGATTTCAGATATTTTTTTAGTATTGGATAATCAACTTTAACTTAAGCGGAACAAAGTCGTGAATTGACTATTGTAAAAATGAATATTAAAAAAATAATATTCGTTTAATAATAACGAAAATATTTGTATGGGAATTAATTAAATGCGCGCAGTACTTATTTATTATATGCCCACCGATCGAATTTCAACCCTAACTATTGACGCTAGAAGATCTAAATTCATTTGTTATATCACTGAACCTGCGACCAGTAAACGCCGGTTGACGATCACAGTGCGCTGGTAAAATACTCAGAAAACACAGCTGCCGATGCTCCCGTGAATCCTTAAATCGTTTTTACTTTTATTGCCCTTGTAGGCAGACGAGCATGCGGCCCACCTGACTGTGAGTAGTTACCTTCGCCCATGGACTTCAGCAATGCCAGGGGCAGAGCCAAGCCGCTGCCATCCGTGTTACACTATCAAGGTTACAGTCAGACATTACTTAAAGTTTTTTTTTTATTTTTATTAGTACAAATCGCTATTTGCTCGCTTTTTGAACGCACTCAATTTTCTTATAATACAAACAAAAAGAAAAAAGAAAAAAAAGGTTATCACTAACTTTTGAACGCTGAAAAAAATGGTGTGGCCTGTATGACGAGGTAGATGACATTTCCCTCTTCATCGCTTATGTTCTTGAACGTGAATTTCAAAAGGAACGGCATGAACGTGACCACTCTTTCCTTAACTCCGAACCCCGTGCTCAGACCTCTGTAACGTCTTATCCGACACACCATAGTCGATCCAGAATTACCCGGCGATTGAGCTGCGCGGAAAGAAATAATTCATATTAAAGAAAACTTTTTAAAACATTTATCGAAACGCATTACAGCTTCACGGCAGAAATAGGCAGGGTGTTGGTACCTACCTACCCGGGCGGACTCACAACAGGTCCTACCACCAGTAATTACGCAAATTATAATTTTGCGGGTTTGATTTTTATACACGATGTTATTCCTTCACCGTGGAAGTCAATCGTGAACATTTGTCCTTCACCCTTTTTGTGTTTGTGATTATAATTAATATTTAGCCCCAGCCCGTGTAATAATTCGCTTAAACTAATCCTTATAGTCCTATACAAATAAAACTATCATACTTTCTATCTAATAACAATGATTGAAAAGTAACATGTATTTAAATCTAACATAAAAAGCTAATAATGAAATGATTAATTCTTATTAAGCTAAAATTTAAAAACAACATAAAATAATTCACAGTTAAATTAAACTTCAGAAGAAAAATACTTTCAGGCGCGAGTCTCGATCCAACTCATAATAGTCAAGCTCGTATCAATTTTGTTTGTTAATTTCGCAGGCAAATACAAAGATAATTAAAAAATATACTTGGTCCATTGAAATGTTAAATTGTTTGGGCTTTAGCGTGCGTTTTTAGAGGACGCAATTTAATTTTTTTATGTGTAGGGAGGTTTAGTGTAAGCTTAAGTTGAAGTTTGTGGCAACCCTAGATCAACAAGCAACCCTACAGAAACTAATTGTTTTAAATTTTCTATGGGTTTGTTAGTTTACGAAATACAGCGCAAAAACCCTTTGCACTCGTTTTTCCAAGTCTTGGCGGGATGGCAAGAGTGGCGACCCCAGAAACTGGAACTTAAGCTTATACTAAACCCTCTACACATCAAAAAAACTAAAATTCCGTCCTCTAAAAACGCAATCCTATTTTTTTTTCAATTGATTGACAATGGCAACAAACTCAACAAGTAATGTAGTAAGATAATTATCAAAAAAACTTTATATTTATATACTATAACGATGCTGTCGGTCACCGCAGTTTTTAGTATATCTATGATTTAATAAAATAAAAATTACTAAAAGTACTTTTTTTTTTTTAGTACTAGCTCGTTTCTTCACCTTCACCACTTTAATCCAGGTGCCAATTAATTAATCGATCATAGTTTTCTTACTTTTAACTAAAAACGGTCTTACCGCAAAATACAACACCCCATACTAAAAGTACATAATACAGGTCGATCAATCGAAACCGTAGAAATGAAATCAAGAGTGAGAAATGTAAGAATGTATTTTTCCAACTATATTAAAATATATTAATAAATAAGAAACTTTGAGGGCAACAAATAGATATCGTTAGAACATGTTTAATTTTTAAATAAACCGCAAAAATACTTACGATTACATACACTAAGCACGGTAACACACAGATACAGTTAAAAAAAAAAACAGTGTGTCATAATAATTCGAAATTTAAATAATTCATAGTGTTGATCCATAAAGAATCGAATCGTGTTCGAATGTAAAGACACATCCATTCGTTATTGAACATGGAGAAGCTCTATGTTACGTTGGCACAGCGATCCGAACTCGGCGATCGGGAGGGAGCATGCAATCGCATAACTCAAACATCGGCACCACCGATATAAACGTTAATAAGGATTTTACCTTTTTCTTGCGTACCGTTTGCAGTTTTCGGGACGGCCAAACCACTGGTTATCTGTGACGCGAACGTGCTACGGTCCTGTAAATATCGTTTCGTTATTATATTCCTTTTGTCGCCAGTGTAAAAGCGAATTAAATTAAAATTAAAAAAAATATGTCTAAAACTCTTCGACAAAGGATACGTAGCATTTATTCGAAAAAATTTAATAAAATTTTAAACTCACCCTTGGATGAACGAAATCGATAAATGACCTCCCGATCCACATGTCCTTCGGGAAACCGAGTGTAGCCGTCAGCGATGATGTCGTGTACATTACGATTCCATCGTGCATCGATATAACGCATGAAAATCCATCCTGTATTTCATTAATGTATATTAGTATCGAAACAAGAATCTTTTTAATACAATAATTTAAATACGAGAATTTAAAAAAGTTGCCGTCATGCAGTCATTATTAATGATAAACTATTAAAATTAAACAGAATCCGAGTGACTTCCAGACACTGTGACTGTCTGTGTGACTGAACGATATCGGCCCATCTGGTGTAAGGGCTTGTACACAAAACTTTGATGCGACGTCGCATCGTAAAAATCTACAAGCTCCCACGACGCACCGCAAGAACTTGCGAACTGATTCGCATCGCGCATCCCTGCGTTGTTAAAGGATTGTGGAATTGAAAGTCAATTGTGAAAAGGAAAATCCTTGCCGCGCGAAATCGTGTTGCGGTTATGTGTGTTGCGAATTCGCAGTTATGTGTACAAGCCCTATAGTTTACTGGAGCCCAAAGGCATTACAAGGTGAATGCCGACATCGACTTTAGAAATATAAGGTCTCAATTATACACCTTCTGAACTACTACGTTAGAATAAAATATAAGAAATTAACAAAAACTTTGTTTAGTTTTGAACGCTTCTTCGTTGTTTTTACGATTCTTTGAAAATATCGTAACACAAAATGACTATAGGTCGCTTTTTTTGTACCGATGTTGATAGCCTTGAGAAGCTACATCGGCGTTAGCCTAGAGTGTAGGTGAGCTCTCGGGGCTCAAGCAAGGAGGTGTTGCTGACACTGGCCCTATCAAGAGCAGTGCTTCGCAGAATCTACTACGGGATCAAAAACGCGACCCACTGAGAAGATCCGACGAGAAACTGTACAGGTCGCCTTAAGCCCGTGCTACACGAGCCGATACTAGCCATTTACTTTTGTCCACTATACATTGCAAGCACATATTTATTGAGAGTTTGTTCAGAGCTAAAGCAATTACTTTGTGACCATTATAAAGGTACGCTTTCCTTAAATAATATTATAGATCTTAAAAATACACAGTCTTGACGAAAAATTGAAGAAGAAAAAACAAAAACAAAAACAAATTGTTTGCTTACAGTGTAACAGATTAGATTCGAACGACTCGTAACTACATCGACAGTAGAGTTCTGCGGTTGCAGGTCACACGATAAAACCTGCGTAAGAAAATAAGTCACTAGCTTTAGTAGTTCAAAGTATTTTACATTATTTTTAGCACATCACGATGCTGAGCAATGAGCGATCGACTGAAGGAGGAGGAGGACTAGTAAAGAAGAGAATTGGCACTATCCCTGTGTACAATTACCCTATGTAAATAAATGTAAACTATAAGTAGAAATATAAAAATGTAATTACTACCTATATATTATGTATTATTATTATTCTCATACATACATACTATATTTATTTTAAATATTATTGGTTTTACAACATTGAAAAAAAGATTTAAAAAAAAAACATTTAAAAAAATAAGTCTATTATATTATTATTCTTATTATTATTACAGTAGATTAGCAGACCCACGGCTAACCTAGCGTTGAGTGGTAACCGAGGCCACCGCCCCACCTTCGAACTACGACTAAGATTTCGTTAAGTGTTCTGTGTAGATTTGCTTAGGAAATCGAAACCTGCTTTAATAATAAAAGTTGTAATCATAATCATAAAAACGACTGTTAGAAAAAGACTTACGTGCAATTTAAATTTAAAAAAAGGAGAATTAATTATTTCAAATTCACGATCGATTTACCTGACATCGAGCTTTTAAACTAATATTCTAGAACAGGGGTGGCCAACTTAATTAGAACGAAGATCCACTGTTTACTGAAACACTCTATCAATGACATTTCTTGAAATTTAACGAAACAATGTAGAAATAGTATAGAATAGTATCAGTATAGAAATAAGTAGTATATTTTCTTTTATTAAAAAGATTAACATAAAACTGAAATTATATAATAAAAGAGAATTATTGTGCGGAAGAGAGGATAAATAATGTGACGTAAAGGTCATTTACAAAATTAAATGACACAAGATGAAGATGATGTGTGCAATTGTTGATTTTGTAGTCGGAATATTTTCTAATTCAGAACATTCGCATCGATGGATGTATTATATTATTATATCGTCAACTTACCTCTACCTTGTCGCCTTCAGTGTCTGTTGAAGCTATATCCATATTCTCAGGTCCCTTCTCGACCTGTACATGCGCTGGAGAGGGTGCGCTCGTAACTGCACAGCGGAAACATAAAAAAGGGAGATAAACATGAACCAATGCGGTAACCATCAATCGTTTATTCTAACATCAACATTGTCTACACAACACCCCTAAGGCATACCGTCTAACAATAAAAATATTATAGATATGTACTAAACTTCTTAATTTTTTTTATCGATATAATTTTATTAGTTTTGTTAATTTTTATACAACACACATTTTACTGAATGAAACTCAAATACCTATTTATTACATTAATTTACAATTAAAACGAAAATTACAATTAAGATGTTTTGAAATATGAAAACAGAACAAGATCAAAAGCTTAACATGACAATGACTACCTAGTGATCATTTGACATTGTCAATGTTAAATGACTACCTAGTGGTCATTTAAATTATTATATTCTTATCTGTATTCGTTTATGATATGAGATCCGACAATGATCGATTTAAATAAGATGAAATTTATTTTTAAATAGAATTAGTAGCCAGAGACAGAGAATCTCTATCGTGGAGTTGGTTTTCAAGGTAAGTATTTTCAATACTAATTCACACTACACTACACACACTACTTGTTGAAGTGAGATAGATTATTTATATATGCTGAACAGTAAGAGTGATATGGGCTGCTTTTTAATCCGGACAATATTTACAATAATACCTTCAGAATTAAAATTAATAATATGGGTAAATCTCTGGGGCTCTCTATTTGTAGAAATATTCTTTTTCTTCTTCTAAAATACATCGAGTCGGATCATAAAGTGCAATAACTTTCAAATCATTCAGACGTCAGAAAATTCGTAAAAACTAAACATAATCCCATACTTTCATACACAGGGTGATTCAAAATTAATAATAATCGACTTGAAACATATTTTTTAGATATTATAATTTACTTTATATTTCGATAATTTCACTTAGACCATCAGTTCACTTGCGTACGAATTGATTTTTGAAAAAGCTTCTAGAGAAAGCTCGCCATTGTTTTCAAATTTATTTCCTCTGGGTTGCTTCTTAAGCCGACGGTAGGGTAAGAACAGGCCGAGTTATATGTTCTTCACGTATGGCACCATAGCTTCGGTTAGATGTGCAGTCACCTTATCCTGACGCAAGGTTATTCCAGGAAACAGTACTCCTCCTTATTTGATACCTTCCCTTACTCTCCTTATTTTGTCTGCGTAGGAAGTGCAGGCAATAGTGATCTCATTTCCAAACACAATCCTTGGGAAACGTGTCGTAACTTCGTAGCCGTCCATTGTCATATACTCGATTGGTTTTTATATCACTTTTAAAAGCCGACATTGAAATGAATGCAGTTCTAAAATATTACAGGGTTTTTATTTCAATATTAAGAAAACTATAAATTATTGTGTCCTATCGAAATATTCGATTATAATTAATTTTGAAACAACCTTCTTACGGATAAAACTATCATATGCTTATCAAAAACAACAGTTTATTCATTAATATCACATCAACAGTCGGTCGAGGTAAGTACAACGTTACTTAGTTGTTTAAACCAAATAGGCTTTAAAATTTCGAAATTCCAATTCATTTCAAATTGATTTATTTTAAATCATATTATGAGAAGTTATATGTGTTATGAATGAACCATATGTTTTTATTCAATCATTATTGAAGAATATTATACATATTTAATATTATGAACTAACCGTTCAAATCTCATTATACATACCATTCAGTCCTGACACAATCACGATCACATTACCTTTTCATAAGCGATGTACCTAAATAACATGTCTAATATTATATTGAATAAAACACTGAGTCGCAAATACTCGACCTTCCCGTACCCTCTGTAACGATAATAATTGTTTAATTACAAATGTGCCGACGTTTCGGAACCTAAGAGAAAAATCAACTACTTACAATCTGTTACGGAACTATAACGTCACGAAAATTAGATAGAAGCTGCGACAAAGCAGATGAGTTCTTAACTAACTGTTAGTATATGTTACAGTTTATGAGTTAAACAATTAACGATTTATTGACACCCCCCTTTAATTTCGGACCACACAAATCTCTAACCAAACAATTAACCAATGTTCAATGCTATCAACGATTCAAAAGCAATCAGTCGTCAATGTAGTTTAGAAATTAATAATAGAGGTTAAAGTATGAAATTGCCGTTTAATTGTAATAGGTACTTCGAATTAACATAGAACCTTCATGGTTTGAGATTTTTGAGTGAAACTTTTTTCAAATGGTACCTGGTATGAGGTACTTCTTTTAAAAAATGTGCAACATTGGATTAACGACTTTCAGTTGTATTTTTTTTATTCAGGTTAGACAAGAAATATGGATACTTCGAAAATTCGAGTGATTTTTAATACGTGTTCCGACGCGGAACTAACGCTGCAGAAACAGCTCGCAATATCAGTGTTACGTTTGGAGAGGACTGCTAATGAACGCACCGTGCGGTTTTGGTTTATACGCTTTCATGATGGAAATTTTGATTTGAAGAACAAGCCACGTGGAAGACCGCCCACACATGTGAATAACAACGTATTGAAAGAGATGGCGGAAAATGGTGGCATAGTTTAACGTTACCTTGCCAACAATATTGACTCATTTGCGTCAAATCAATAAAATATAACAAAAAATATGAAAAATGGGTGCCTCATGATTTGACTGATCTGCAGAAAGAAACGCGTGTTGAAACTTGTGTTGCCTTGTTGAATCGATACAGAAATGAAGGAATATTGTATCGAATTGTGACATGTGATGAAAAGTGGATTCTTTACGATAAACGTAAGCGAAAAATGCAATAACTGACCCCAGGTCAAACGCCGCAAAAATAAAAAGGTAATGGTAACTGTTTGGTGGTTTCAGCATGGTGTTATTCACTATAGCTTTCTCCGATCTGGTCGAACAATAACGGCAGATGTCTACTGTGCCGAACTCTGAACAATGAAAGCAAAACTTGCAGTGAAACAGCCTCGACACATTAATCGGTCCTCACCATTATTGCTCCATGATAACGCGAGACCTCATATAGCACGAGAACCGTTTTAACTCTACAGGAACTTCAATTAGAAACCATTGGTCACCCTGCGTATTCGCCAGACCTTGCTCCAACGGACTACCATTTATTTCGTGATTTGGACAATTTGCTACGTAATAAAAAGTACAGGAGGCAGTACATAATGCTTTCACACAGTTTGTAGAATCTAGATCACCAGTTTTTTTTTTTTTTTTTTTTTTTATTGCTTAGATGGGTGGACGAGCTCACAGCCCACCTGGTGTTAAGTGGTTACTGGAGCCCAAGGACATCTACAACGTAAATGCGCCACCCACTTTGAGATATAAGTTCTAAGATCTCAATGTAGTTACAACGGCTGCCCCACCCTTCAAACCGAAACGCATTACTGCTTCACTGCAGAAATAGGCAGGGCGGTGGTACCTACACGCGCGGACTCACGGCATAAATGACCTTCCTATTAGATGGCAGCAATGTATAGATAATAATGGTAGATATTTTGATTAAATAAATATAATTATTTAAAAAAAAAAAAAACCCTTTGAATTTCTCATTACAAATCGACAATTTCATACTTTAACCCCTAATAAATGTAGAATGGCGTCATTGTCAGCTTCAAGTGACTTTCGAACCAATTTATTTTCCTTATTCAGTAACGTTCTGTCTACAAGTTGAAATTCCAGTGAAACGGTAATGACGCGACGTCTTTACGCAATTCAGCAAGCTCGTGTTTAGTTCAAGACACGCGTATAGACCGCGGCTTTCTAATTAGTCTGAATTTTGATTGAGCAGCTTCGGACCGTATTTTGTTAAGAACGTTTTTGTTTTGTTTTGTTTTGACTTTGTGATTTTGTAACAAAGAATATAAATAAACGGAAACAATTTTGTATTCCCGAAAACTTTTCACGTTTTATTGCTTAACGTTTTTATCGTTGACGCAAAATACACTTTCCATTGTTACATACCGACCGATGGTTTATATTAGAATAATGTAATCGAAACTGTTTTGTTTTTTGATTCGAATCAGTTTTTTTTTTAACAAAATGAAAGCGGTTTGAATCCGTCTTTAAACTTTGAACTGTATTATGAACAATAATAGATTTTAGGGAACAAAAGATGACAAACCTATTCAAGCATCGAATTAGTTAATTCAAAAAAAAAAAATACTTTTGTCCAATACGTTACTAAAGTCTAGTTAAGTTAGTCTTTGAATGAAAACGAATTTCTATTTTATAGAATCTCCATTATAATATAATTTATTATACTAGTGGTCCCGCACTAGTCGAAATTCGACTATAATTAACTGGAATTGTAAGTTTGTACACTATTAAGATTGTATTTTATACTTCTATAATCACAAATTTCGGCAAGACTACACTATAAAAAATATTAACAAAGACAAACAATATTTAATCTATTCTCAATTTGACAACAGACGTCAAGAACAAAAGTTTGACAATAAATAGTATGCATGCGTGTGTGGGTCAAATACATGGTATGTAGTGTGTGTAATGTTTTCTTTATTGATTTAATGTATCTTTTATGCATTATTTAAAAAAATAATTAGCATTGTGCACTTCTTCTCTATATTCTCTATAAGTGTAGAAAATTTCATACTCCTCCGTCCGCACAATTTTCATAAAAAGGGGTACAAAGTTTTTGCTTCACGTATTAATATATAGATTATAAAAAGTTCCGACTGAAAAAGCTTGCTACATTAATCGAGTATGTAATTTTTTTTTTGTGTACTATTAATAATAATTATATTATAAATGGGGGGGATATGTTTTTCCAAAGTGCCAATTAGAAAGTGGCCGCTAGTTATTCTTTTTTTAAAACTAAAATAAGATATATTTTTTTAAATAAATCACCTCACAGTAATCAATATATTTAAAGATCTTGAATAGTTATGGTCGCAGTTGTGAACTCGGCAGCAACCTATTCGCACACCCAATTTATACGATAACTAGCGGCCCGCTCCGGCTCCGCTCGGGTCTTTAACAAAAATTTCAACGATATTTGCGGCATAACTATAATAGTTAGACATATGCCGTCGCGATGCTTTTTGTTAATAATAATGTGTTCTACAAAGTCGTAGTACATTATTTTATTCTATCATCAATAGTTTTCGCAGGGCACGCGATGTAAAGAATATTTTACGTATATTTTTTACACCTTTGGTTACATTACTGGAGTTTTAGTAAGGATCCCTAATTTTTTTCAAAAAAGATTATAGCCTATGTCACTCGGGAATAGTGTAGCTTCCAAACAGTGAAGGCATTTTTTCAAATCGGTTCAGTAGTTTCGGAGCCTATTCAATACAAACAAACAAACAAATCTTTCCTCTTTATAATATTATATACGATAATGATTTACATTCATAATTTATATCATAAATAAATAAATAGATCTGTACATCACAAAATACCACTGCTTATGTAAAATTGGCCGCGAATAGGGGTGTCTAGTAGTTTAAAATAGATTATAGCGAATGAGGGTTAGCGCGTTCCATCGGTCACCATAACAATATGAGGATGACGAATGCCAGTTGTACATGTTTTTAACGCCATTACGCATGCATCAGCAGCTATTTCTAAACATTTTAATAAAAAAGCAGTAACAATTTAATTCTGAGTATGTTTTGGAGCTCGTAATACACAAGGTTATTTTATTACTTGTTATATAATTTGTATTACGCTAAAGGTTGAATTAATAAAAATTAAGTGTTCAATATGTTTTAAAATTAATAAGTGTGATTCCTTTTAAGAAAGCATATTCTTGTTAAGAGCCCCGTGTTAATAATACAATTATGTAGATGATAATGATTGAACATTATTTAATTACGATTTATGTTATAATAATTATAAATTAGATCACTATAATAAAATTAGAATGTTGAGTTTATTTATGTTTAAAAATTAATCAAACATGCACTAAAAAAATATCGACTGAAAAAATAAGACTTTCAGATATTTAAGTAAATGTATAAATAAAGGTTAAAGCGAAAGATCAAACTACGAGATAGCCCACCTCATTAAATCAACCTCGCCCCTCCAGACTGCAGGTTCACCCAATGTACTGGTACTTAATTTTTAATGCTTTAGTTGTACAATGACTAATATTTTTATTACAATATATTTATAAGTGAATATAAGTAATAAGAAAAAAACACCTTATGATTTACCAAACTAACGTTTAGTTGTAGCAAAATCATTTCTAAAATTTCGTTCTGAAAACTTCAATTTAATTCACATTAAACTATGACTTAAG